TTCTTCTATAGTGCAGTTTCTCAATGATCGTTCAAACTTCTTGAAGCATTTCATGTTAGATTTTTTCTACGATGCAGCTTCTCTATGATCATTGGGATTCGATTTTAGAAAATAAGCATCTATCGGCTAAGTAGGCATATTTCTTCTAGGTTCAAATTGCATACTTAGGCAGATGATTAGTGTAGTTGATTATGATTTGAGTGACACACTTTTTACTAGAAGAGTATGTATGCACATAATTCAACAAGATAAATCACATATCTCTAAGCATGTTCATATTAGACATGGTAGACCTTAGTGGTAGATTCACAATCATAAAATAAAAGCATTTGTATTCAAAAAAATCTTGCAAGAAATGATTGCTAGATTGTCTTGTTATTTTGTCATTGCAAAGATTGATATAAGTGAGATCTATTTTACAAAACACACATGCATCATCACACAAAACGTTAATGTAAGCGGGAGAACATTTAAGTAATTTAGGCGAAGCGGACTTCAAATGATACTTTTAGGCATGGTTGCATATCTCGTTTATTGTCTCTTTCTCTGATGTGTGTGTTGGATTTATGGATTTTACAATCAATATTCACATTGTATGTAAAAAATGTTGATAATTGAAAATGTTGATATTCTCATTTCTTCACATTAGATATTATTTAATAAGTGTGATTATCGTTTTTAATACATTGTATAGAAAACATATTCTGTTTCATTGGAGAAGAAATTTAATGGATTTTTAAATTTTTCATTTTTATTATGATTGAAATTACATTAAATTCCATTGAAAAGGAATTTTTCATTTTAATTGAGATTTATGGATCTTTTTGATATCACAAAATTGTTAGTAAACAAATACATTTACAAACGCAAATTTGTTTTATGAGATATTAAGATATATATTTATCTTTATAATTAATATATATATATATATATATAACATTCAACTGGTAATTCTTTTCTGTCTATCATACTCATGAGTGAGCAAATGAATGCGCCTGGTGAATGGCTGGTACTCTTTCGAAGATGTTGCAACAATATATGTTCATGTACGATCTAGTTGACCTTAATTGCGGCGTAATATTGAAAGATATAATTCAGGGCTAAAAAAAAGAGCTGTCTAATGTCTATGTCAAGTGTCAACATCCGATGTTCCTGTCAATTTTTGTCACTCTAAGCTTCACGTTTCTTCTCTATTTTGATCATTTGAGGTGAATACACGCAATAAAACTGTTTCTCAAATTATTGTTACCTTCAAAAAGACGTCTCATCAATTCATTCCACATACAGCGTTTTACAAATAGTGCGCTTTGACTAAAGTCTTATCATAGAGGAGCCAGCACATTATGAGGTAGTCGAATCGACTCGAATATTTCCTTTTTGGGGATAGGGAACCAAGCGGTGACACAATCTTTTTCTCTCTCTTGGACACAGCGTGATAGTAGTACAAATAAGGATTGCGCGTATGTTAGAAAAACTATTTCTTCAGTTCCTGTAGTCAGCCCACGGACTCCACCGTTGCTTCAGTCTACGATCCAATCATTCGTGATTACGTGAATAATCATTTGTACTGTTGGTGTGTTTGCTGGCATGCAAGCTCACGGGGTGTATGAACTAAAGTCCACTGCCTAAAATGTAAAGTGCTTGTTGGAGGCATTTTGATAGCATCTTTCGTGTCCATGAATCTCTGCTCATGACATAGAGTTAGTTCGGCATTTGGTGAAGATACACAGTGAAAATGAAAATCTTGAGGCATTCCGAATGGGTGTGATGACCGGATATTGTCATGAACTGCATTCTGGCATGAAATAAGAACGTTCGTGCACACAAAAGCGAAAATACTTCCACCAACAAAGAGCAAATAAGCATTAACTCAGGACAGGTTTGAAGAGCTATAACTACATACTAAACGGAGATGACACAGGGCGGAAATTACAGTGAATGGTACAGACTCAAACGTGAATGTTCACCGTGAAACTTTGAAAACATGGAGATAACATGTAACAAGGCAGAAGAAACATGAAAGATACAACTATTCCAGATTACGCAGTCTCAACGCATATCTATTTAGGCTTAGTCTGCAGCTGAGGTTCATCGACCTGTTTCTTTTACTTTGACATTTATAATCTTTCCATCTAGTCTACATTTGTGCGGCGCAGTTTGTAATATATCAGAACGTTGTTGTGCTCGAGTCGAATCAGTACTGTACTCGTCAACAGGGAAGATGCATTAGAAGCAAGATCTATCGTCAGCACCAAGCGGCAACATGATATAGTCAATGAATCAACAGGGACGGATACAATTACCGTCAGAATAACGTACAACGTATGAAGTTTAGCAGAGCTTGGTGTTAGATGACGCACTAGTCTTCATCTTATAAAGAAATGTAACTCATTTACTGGTTTACAAAATTATCAAATAGATGTCGTTGTGCTATACTTAGTTCGAATGGATGAAGGGTACGTTTCAAAACACAAAAAATAACTTTCACAAAACTTACAGAACTAGTTGCTTTGTGGTTTAACCGAGGGTTCTGTTGACAACTAGCGAAGGACAAGTGAGAGGAAAGAAGTGTCAAACTCCTTTCTGAGATTCTCTCGGCAACTCCTAGCTATCCTCCGACGGGTCCAGGTTCAAAATCATAGAAATTGGGGAGTCAACGAGCGATGCGGACCTCCCTCACATTCATACTTAACGTGAGTCAACTCCTCGTTTGATGGAAGAGAAGCTCAGTGCCGTACCTTTGTGACTTCAAGCTTTCACGCGTAGGCGTCATGAGTAAGTTACGCTTTGTGGTCCAATCTTAAATTGAGTGATAGATCTTCCTACCACTTTCACATACCAACCTGAAGTTGATGACTTGGCCAAGAGAGTTGTTTAGACATAAAGTGTATAAAGATGTACCATCTCTCGGGTCCTTCTGTGTTGTACTTTCAGCTGGGAACTAATTACTTTAATCTTCAAATCTAGATGTTATACTTGCTATAGAGCGGTTCAGTTTTTCGCCCTCATTGAAAAGGATTTCCTGTTGTGAACCATTTGAAAGCATTTAGTTAGGATGAAATTCTTGAGTCAATATGATCCAATCTGTCTTATCATGTGACAATTACATGTGTTATGAAGTTACACAATGATACCTCGAGAGTACAAAATAATGAAGAAGAAAAGCACATGATAAATAAAAATTACAAAACTTATATTTACACACATGAAAAATATAACGATAAATTGAGAAGTCAGAGAAGTGCCATTCAGCGAATCAATAGATGCATCCACAGGGTTAATATCTAGCTATCTACTTGGTCTTTGAAAACATCCTGGAATCTTACAAATGGAATTGTTCAAAAAGTTCAAATCTAAAAATTAGTGTCTTTTGACTATTTTAATCCGTCTTCAAGTTGGACGAGTTAATCACTTGATTATAGAAGCGTCAAAGTCGGCACTATTGGTCTCAATGCCAATAGGATCGTGTTTCTGTCTCTCGTCTAGTTCCTGTAACCTTCTTCCCCTTAACATAACCAGTATATTCTGCAATCTCACAGCCTGAATTTAACAAGAAGACAACTTTCTCAGAATCGGCGAAAGAGCAGATCCACGGGTACCCAATAAGCCTGACCGGTTCCAAGGCTTGGCTGTCGACATGCAAAATGTATTTCATGTTTTCCGAGAAGTACTAATGTAGTCTGCCAGTCACGAGGAAGGCCTAAAAAAACCCGCCAGGATGTGTGAAATCAACCAGCACCCTCAATAGCAGCCTGTTGGAAACTGTACACAGAGATAATGTAGTTCCTAAACAATGTGTAGCATGAGGTTATCAGTGTCCTGCCTGCAAGTTGATGCAATGAAGTCACTGGAGCAGTTCTGTAAAGTGACACCAAGGCTAACCGGGACAGTAGGTGTGACCACTACCAACACCATTAATTTCTTATAACCAGCTCAATGTGGACAACAATAATACCAACACTTCATACCTTATTCAGCTTGAGCTAGCTACAGGCCCTATAAGTTGATGAAGAAATCCGGTTAGCACTTAGCCGGACAATATGCAGAATACATATCACCTCCCTGATGTAGAAGCACAAACAAATCCTAAACACAAAACTCAGCCGCGAGTCTCGTGTCAATAGGTACAGCCAGAGAAGATGTACTTTGTTGATCTATCCGCTTTACGACAGCAGATGTCGATGTAATGGAACGAGTGCGAAAAGCAGAACGATACGCCAGACATGAGGAAGATACAGAAGGTGCTACTGTATGTCAGATAGCAAGATGTAAGATTTTACTTCAAGATTATTGACGAAAGGTGCTGCTCTAAAGCCTTCGTACGTTACATGTTTGCGTTGTAGGAAGCAATTGGCCAAAAGGGTGAACAATGTTGACAAGTTGAGAAGCTGAAAAGAAGGAAAACTCTTGCACGTCGTATGTTGAGAAACTCAGTTTCAACCCCTGCCACAAAAACCATACATCGGATAAAGTCGTGAAACGCTTCTTGTACTCAGAGTTTAAGTACTATACGGTAAGTTACATGTACTGACCTTCTAACGCCAGTGCCGACTGTCAGAGTCGAAACGAAAAGAATATGAAAGCAGAGTAGTATCTGAAAACAGTTGAGAAGCCATAAATATGTGAAGAACAACAATATTGCAGAGGACAAACATCGATAGATGATTCATCCAAGTAAATGAAACAACAAATCCTCCAACAAGCCATTTGACAAGACAAAATAGGTGGCTGCTATGCTCAACTAGAGCTGATCGAAGCGCTAGCTAGCAGAAGCTTAACTGCAGGCATTCAGTTACTAGCCGAGAAGTTCTGCCATGATGCACGAAACAAACTCGACAATGACTATTTTTAATCTCTGAGGTGGAAGTCTAACCTCCAAGAAAGATCGGGAATCATTAGTTGATAACATAAAGCAGGCCATGGGAGAGCTACAAAATGGGCAGCTTATAATCCAATGCACATGCTTCCTAGATTCGGCTAACGCTGGATCGGACAGTCGTAGCAGAAGAACTTTCCTTACAAAATGTGCATTAAACCTGCAATGTTACATAGTAGTCATCACGGTCCTTAAACAAATACAGAAATCGCTTCCGCTAACTAATGCAGCTCAGGCGCCAGCTTCGGGCCCTACTCGATAAAGATATCAAGTATAACCTTCTAGACAATGACTGCCAGAGAGAACTGCGGGTAGCACCACAACCCCACAGCCTAGGTCATACCTATTAGATGATGCGATTGACATTTGGTTGATTCGTATGCTCCAGCTTCTGAAAGAAATCAGCGACTCGAGTTCATTCAGGAAGTGAAGAAAAAATCTTGCCATAATTTCACGAGTTTTAGTGGTTGCTTAAACTCGCCAATTATCTGTTCGTCTCGGCAGGTAGAGGACGATTGAAACCACCCCGTCTGTTCATGTATTGCCTAGGCGTGCGCTTCGTGGTCAGCTTGACTGCACTGTGATTGGCATCAGAAACATATTTCCCTTTCGTAGTCGTGAAGCCGACAGGAATTCCCAACTTCTTCATCATCTCTTCCTCATCTGCTTGAACAACAGCAGGAGATCCTTGAGCAACCACAGCAGGTGAAGTAAGGTAAGAGGCTTCGACGTGCTGCTCGTGTTCTCGAACGATACCGTCTACAAACTCGGCAACAATAGCTGCTCTCTGACCCTCCGTGGCCATAACATCGTCATCCCCCCTATGGTCGACGCCCTTCTTGTGGGATTTATCACGATCAATGCTAGTGTCTCGGCCTCTTCCTTGAAGTCGGGGTTCTTTCCGGCTGTCATAATCATCGGGAGTAGCCCACTGATGATCATGGCGGGGCGAGCGAGACCGTCGGCTGTCTCTCTCCCGCTCTCTCTTCCGACTCCGCTCTCGTTCTCTATCTCCTTCTCGTCCTCGTTCGCCCCTGTCTCCTCGATCCCTTTCTTTCTCCCAGTCGCGGTCCCGCTCTCGTTCCCTCTCGCGGTCATGACCTCTGTCACTGCCTCGATCCCTATCCCTCTCCCGTCCGCGTTCTCGACTGCTGCCTCCCCAATCTCGCTCTCGCCTCCTCTCGACTTTCACAGGAAACCTCCGCCGTGGAGACCTACCTCCATCGTCACTGTCAACATCCATAGCGGGACTCAAATCCTCTCCCCGTCGATCATCCCTGCCATCCCTGTCGGAAATGTGGGCACCTCTGTGCGATTTCACGTCTCTGCTCATGGCGCCACAAGCTTCCCCTGATCGAAATGAGTGTCACACCATGGGCTCATCTCCGAGAGGCCATCGTGGACTCCCCTTATTCCCGAGCTTCGGACAGCTCTCGATTCCCACGACAGTCGATCGTCCACATTCGCCCGTCGTCAGTGTCTCAAGAAACGCTCGTCACGCTCGAGGAATCTCCTCGAGCCGGGTTCAGAAATCTCCTCCCTCGTTCAACTCCGTCAGCGCTCTGCGAGCATGTGATTGTTTTCGGCGATTTTTCGCTGGACTCAGATTATCCGTGTAACTTGAAGCGAATGCCACTGACGGCAGTTCGAGGCCGCTAGAGCAGAACATGCCTTTGACAGTGAAGATGCAACCTAGAACACCACTCGTTCCTTCTTCTGGCCCGACGAGAAACATGATCGTTTATTTCCTATTCGCGCAAGCATGGTTCTTAGCGCTTATGAGAAACAGACATTCTCAAGGTTGAATTTTTTCCGTGTTCTTCGAACCTCTTACATAACCGTGCAAGTGGATAGCACAAGTCTACTGTATCAAAATCTCTACAAACAAACATGAGCATAAATTGTTTCATCATACATTTTTATTTCTAGCACAAGCGTTGCTAACACAGTGATTTTATTTACTTATGTTCTTGATGTTTCTCAATATATACATGGAGAGTTATTTTTGTGCAATACTATAAATTATGCCTGAAGTAGAATGTACACAAAACATCCTATTTACATCAAAGAAATCAAGATACAACAACATACCACAATCAAGCCTCAATGTTGGAGATCATTCACGTCATTCTAACATTCAAGGTCATATCTACAAACAATTTCTTCTTCTTCTTTTAATCTTTTCATTCTTATTTAAAAAACTTGAAAATTTCTATCTTCGACATTTTTTCGGGTTATTGAAATTTGTTTCCTTCAAGATATACTGAGTTTTTCACAAAATTTTTCCCTTTATATCAGAATTTTTACATTACCAAATAATGCATATAATCTTCGGTACTTCATCTTCAGACTACAACACACATTCTTAGGTATATCTAATGGTAAATTTGACTTTTCACACACAACGGTTGTCACTTCTGAAGTTGAAAAAACATTTTTCCAAACAAAACATTTGAGGTGATCAGTCATCTTGAGATTGATTAATTATAAATTTTTTTTTCATCATCAAACATAATCAGTATTCTCCATTTGTTAAATCTCAGTCCTTGTTCAATTATTTTTCAGTCTAAAATAGATCTTCATGATCTGTAGGAAGTTTTAAAGCATTCATGTTGGGTGTCTACATTTTTTAATGACATATATTTAATTATTATAGTATTATATCAAATAAAACTTAGAATATTAATTTTAAAATAAAAAAAGAAATCTTTACCTAAGATGAAAATTTTGAGGTACAGTACGCAAAATTCATGATATCTTTATGTAAAGATTATTAAACAGTAACGTCAGTATATAATGATATTATGTTTTTTTAATTTTTAGAAATATATAATTGCATCATATCATTCTGAACAACACATTTTCTGCTAGAATATAGAAATTACTTTAAAATAGAATGTATCCTTTCTCTTCCAAACTCCAAAACTCACAATATCAGATCTGTCTAACATAATGAAGTATTATATAAACGAGCCAGATGCAGAAAAACCGAAATTCTGGATTTTGCACTAGGTAAGGTATTACTTCAGTGTCGAATTTTGTTTGGAAACCTGGCATTCTAAAAGCTGTAATTCAAGCTGAATCCATAGACTGTAGCGAATGATGATAAATCATACAGAGCACTCTCGGAAGTTATAAACTGGATTGAATACTAATAGGACGCCTCTCCTCGTGCTAGTCCCAAGAGGACGCTCTGAGTGTCCAAGTTTTACATTATGCGGTTTCTGTGGGTTCTGGGCCATGCTGATCCTTTGTCGTGCAGATGCTGACTGTTCCAGGGTCTGACGTTGTATGGACTTGCATGGCTAGTCTGATCGGCCGCAAGTTCCTCCGTGAACGACTGTGCTCATAGTGAAGTTAAGAAAGACCACCCACAAAATGCAAAAGGGCATCACCAACTTACGTTCAGCTTTTTTGAAGCTTTGCAGTGAAGAAACTCATTCGGCAGGAGATCAATCGGCGTCAGTTGCCGTAACATTTGCGCTATGTTCAGGACTGAACCGACTGATACGTCCCTTGACGTTCTGAGGTGCTGCATTCCGAAAGGAAGGTGCGCTCAAGTAGTCCTCCTGAACATAAATAGTTTCACCATCGATAGAGAGAATGAGCAGAGAAATAGCGGAGTGCAATAAGGCCTCGACTTTATTTCGTAGGTGATCTACCTCCAAGCCATAGTTCCATGCACATCCGTCGAGCCCATCAAGATCACCGGCATTGGACAGAAATGAAGATTGGAGCTTCGTCTGTAACTACATCAAACTTACATCTACGGAAGGCTGCACTTCTTCTCTTGAAATTGAAAACTTGCAGGATCCTTCATGCAGTACTCATCTTAGTCCTTGTGGTCCACCCATGGCCAGTTTCGTGTTCGACACTGAATTGCACAATTGATGAAATTCCAGGGGTGAGTAGAAAACTGAAACTCGCATGGAAGGCAGCTGCAGATGAATGCACGAAGGTTGTTCTTTTGGTATGGAGACGACGACGGTTGCGATGTCCTAGATATACTTGATTGGAGATCTCAAGAAGCTCATCGAAAGACCTTATGCCATGTTGCTGTTGGTCCATGTTCTTGACAGGTATTTGATGGGTTCCCGGCGTGTCGGGCCGGTAGCTGCAGAGCAAAATACGAAGACAAGAAGCCGTATTGGTGTGACTCTATACGGCTGTGCGTATCCGATCGGATAGCTTGCAATGACACGGTACGTACTGTCTTCGGGTTTGGTCGAGGCTGCTCGATTTTTATTATACGACCTGATGTAGATACTGGAGCAATTGTAGATAAGAGGCATCATGCACACATTTTTCCAAGAATTTAACAAGCTGCCCAGGGTTAGCCCAGGACAAGTCTCACACGAAGATGATATTTTACCAACGATGTAGAGCATAAATTGTTTCGTTCCTAGGTTGGAGATGTCTTTTAAAAATGCTTGCAACTGACTGACGATAAATAACAGGATGAGATCCCGGGCGTACCACCCAGGAGTCCTCCACCTCCTGCAGAGCCGTATTGCTCGGGGGCGCATATAAGAGGATTTGATCGCAAAACGAACTCGTGCCTGTGTGAGGAAGGATGGTACACAACCCCCAACCCTTATTATTGTGACTCACCAATTCTAGATCGGCCATCGGTATTTTTTTCCTACATTTTTCCTGATGAGGACTCCACTTCTCTTGTAAGTCTCGTGTAAGCTCTAGAAAACGATGAGTGACGAAGAAGCTGCGTAGAAGGCACACAAAGATTTTTCTGGAATCCATTGCGAGGTTAAGGAAAGTGCTAGGAGGGTGTAGATTCCATCAGGCTATTCGATGCACGTGAATCTGTGCACATTTACATTCTGGAGCTTGTGACCGACCCTTTAGAGCATTAACATTCTGGACGTTTCTCTGGAGTTGGTGTGCAGGTGATCGTGATATGTGTACTCGCCGTTATTCTATCTATGTGCATATTGTTGTGTTACATATCCACTGTCAAGACCGTAGTCAGATGTGCCACTCTTGGCAGTAGCAGGTGCAGCGACAACCACGAGACTGTTGCAGCAGAGATGATAAGTCATAGCAATTAAGATGAGTATATCAACAATGACTCTGTTCCTACAGCTTCCTAAAGTTGTTCATGACTGGCTAGTGAGCGCAATGTACTGCGCATTGGAGTGTTCAATGTACTGCGCATGAATCAACCTTCAGCAAACATGAAAGGAAGGTGTTAGTTACATCGATATGGAAAGTTTGCATTAACAAGATCCGAACAGATCTTGGAGACTCTTGTAGGAAATAAGGGACTTCCAGTCAGTTATAAAGGACTAAGAACAATATCGCGAAGGTAAGAATCTCTTAACTATTGTTACGAAAAGTACTGAGTTGTGAATTGTTTCACTTGTTGTGTGGACCACATCCTAATCTCTGTATGTCTATTATGAAACAAAGAGGTGTGTAAGCACATTAGGGTGAAACTTGAAAGGTGTGGATACTCATCATACTAGTTGTGGAGAACATATCTAGAATCATCATCTATCAGTCCGTGTATGAATACAACGAGATGAACATGATAACTGTTTCAACGGAAAGCAATTTTCGACACTTTTGAAAAGTATATGTACATCGAACAGCTGTGGCCCCAGTTCCCACACACTGTAGTATGTACACGTAGTGTGGAGACACAACTTTAGCTAATTGCACGCCGTTATTGGGGTCTTCAAGATACAATCATAAAGCTGATAACCTCGATGAACAGGAAGGTTGAATCCTCCCTTGTGGTGTGCGAGGTCCATATTTGATGGGACACTCGAGTGTTGCATGACAGCGATTGACGTGTACGAAAACGCATTAAGAAGCAAGATAAATCAAATCTACAATGACTTGCTGTTCTCATCTGCTCGGAGGCAGGGTTGTGCACAATGTCCAAGAGCACGCCTTGAGATCTGCAAACGTCAATTTAAGCATCTAATTTTTTTAGACATAATTTCTTTAGAATTAATAATCATCTGCAGTAAGTTTTATCCCGTCATTACATGGCTGACAGATAGTACTTGAATACTACTAAGTGGTGCTCCTAAAATAGTTGTATTTTGAAGTGATTGGTCCTGATCAATGAATCAAAATCTGTATTGAAGAACATTTTTCTCATGTGGAGGATTTCAATCAAATAGGTAATGGGCGAGTAAGATAAAAAAAAAATTAAAATAAGAAGAAATGGGCAGACCCCATCAAGCCTTATATGGTGGGATGGGGCTCGGTTTTTAAAACTAAAAGTAGAGAAACGATTTTGATTTTGGTTTGGTACTATATAAACTCTGGTAGCCGACTACAAGCTTATTACGTTTGTACATACTTTAGATCACAATGGGTGTCACTGGGCCATTAGCTTAATTAGGCGAGATAGGTATCACGGTGAAATCTGAGTTTGGAACGTGGTCTTCGAATCTTTTGTGATCTCTGAGTTTGGAACGTGGTCTTCGAATCTTTTGTGATCGGACTTGGAGATTAGACTGTCATGTGCGCATGGGAGAGTCTAATGCATGAAAAACGATCATTAGAATCACGGATGACTTAGGCTTGGCTGTGATCTTTAGTACTGTTCTCCTTATTCAACAACTTTGGACATTGTATGGAAATGAGTCCTGCAAGTGACGAGGACTGCAGAGCTTAAGGGATTGTTCGATGACAGCACATCAGTACGCAAAGAAATATCCCTCTGAAGGGTAGAGATCATTAGAATGCAGTCTGCACCAGAATTAGTCGGTACACGTGTGTGCACGCGAGGAATCGATGTCTTTTCTTCAGAACAAATGTAATCCCTCCACTCTGCCTCGAAAATGCAACAACATCGATACTTCGCTAAGGTATGAAACTTTACCACGAAACAACGTGGCCTCTATTGAAAGGTCTGCTGAAAAAATTTGATATATAATGATTTTGAGTAGAAATCAATTGTACCCATACTCCAAGTTTACAAGTAGCTCCAAGAACATCACACACATTTCTTGTTTTGTAATTTTGCTTCCTTCACCGCAATTACAAGGACTGAGCTGAATGTAATTGTCGTGGAGGTTACTGATGTTGTTCATGCAGTATACTGTACCTTCCCATCAAACACGCCAACGTCGAGATCACATTTCTGGCGTTTTGAAATATAGCGAGCGAGGAGAAGCCCTATAGCGAACGACCTGAAAAGGTCGGTTGGGAAATAGAAGTGGCTGTCAGAGGACTTACCGAGCGCGGATTGTAATCTGTTTCGTGCGAAGATTGTCTAAATCAAAATCAGTTGGAAATTAGACACTGAATCGCTCCATTACTCCTTGCTCTCACCACATTTGGCAGAGTTACCCATGAGGAACAGCTTCGGTAGTCTGATGCTAAAGAAGATGGAGATTTCGGATGTTTTTCCTTTTCCATGGATGCTTCTGGTGTAAATCGGACCCTTTCTGATCTCACTGAGAAACAGTCGGACGGCAGCACGAAGGAGAGTGGGGTTGCTGATTATACGAAGAATCTAGCCGCTGAGGAACCAAGAACAGATTCTCAGCCAGAACCAGCCAAGTCAGTCTGGCTTGGCCTCAGCTGTGATCAATGTCGGATACCACATACAACAGTGGAGGTAGTGTTCTTCCCCAAGGTTGACAATTCCAGTATCTCCACTGACTTGGCGGCCAGAGTTCTGGATCTAATAATAAAAGGCAGAAATCCGTGGCAAGAAAATGAAATCCACTCCGCTGGGAATCCGGGAGAATCTGGATCTGTGACATGGGTCTGGCCATTATGAAGGAACAGAATGGTAATTAAAAATGTATTTTTCTTCTGTTCTGTACTGATTATTGTTATTCATGTTACAAAAGTGTTGCAGAAGCCTAGAAGAGAAGAACAAATCTCCAGGTAGGTACGTGTATGCAAGCTAAATAACACAAGATGCTTACTCAAAAGCTACAGACACGACTAAATGTCAACCTCGTGCTGAAAATGAAAGTGCTAAAGTGATAATCGGTCAATACATGAGAATAAATCGTGCGTAACTCCCGGACGTAAAGGCCAGTTGTCTGAAGTGGTATTTTCAGCTGATATTATTTCGTGGTGAAGAACTTCTTATCAGGGACGTTCGGTCCGATGTGGAACCAACGAATTCCACGAGCTGAGACCCTTTGGATATGCACAAGAGAGGACCTAGCAAATACCTCAAAGCATATGGCATTCTCCAATTGGTATAAAGAAGTCTCGTCATAGACGTAAAACTAACGGTGCTTTCCTTCTTCATGTTGTACTGTTATTGTAAAGCATTGAATTCAGTGACATATTCGCATCTAGACAGACGCGAATTCGAAGACTAAGTTTTCGGCGAGACGGACTGAATTGTCTACACCTTGGGCTTTCCATGCATTTCTACATTTTTCTGAATGGCTAGGTGTAGAGAACTTATTGGGGCAGTTTCCAATTTCAATAGTGTGATCCGGGTATGTGCATTTGTTGCTTGGTATGAGAAACTTTCAATCATCCTTGTACAAGATGGTCTAAGTAGAACTAGAGAAATCGAGCATGATTCAGCAACATGCAGATCGATTGCACCAATTTATGCATTTGTTCCTTTGGTACAGTACTGTCCATTCGGGCTGGAATCCATGCAAAAGATCCTTCTTGAGAAGTTATGACAGTTGATGGTGACTGCCTCGAACCACGTAGCTTAACATAGTCTCATGAGAAAATCATGGTAGACTGAATCAAACCGAATCTTTGTTAATTGCATTGCATTCAAAGTGTATGCTTCTACTTCAATTTGTGAACATGGTGGTCCAGTAAAATAATAATAGTCCACCCACGTGTCATGTTTATGTATACCCATGGTCAGGCCTCTCTATATAGGGAACTTTTGTCCTTATTTTATTATTATAAAATAAGGATTGTCATCAAAGCAAATTGCTTAATATACAGAGTTTAGTAGAAATCTAAAATTTTTTCAGTAACTTTCAAATTTGAGGGCGACGTATTACTCAATCTCTATTGGTGTTATGATTTATCTATAAAAATCATTTTTCCATTTCAACAGTGAGAAGTTGTTTTTGAAAATGATTAAATTCTTGAAATAAGCAATGAGACAAAATGTTGTAACTTGCCTGGTGACCTAAGCACGAGATGCAATGGAAATGCAAAGACTATACTATAAAATGTGTTTCGGCTAACTTATTCCTTATTTCCCTGCCATAATGTTCCATATTTCAAGAAATATATATATATAATTTCTTGAACTAAACCAAACCTAAAAAGTGTTCAATTATCACTTAGTTTAAGGTTATTTAAGTCTCTTAAATGGTTGTTTTGGTTGAAACTGACTCCACATTATTATTTAATTAAATTGGAACTTTGGTCATTTGTTGCAATTTTGAACTCTGATTTATTGCACTGAAACGGCAGGGATGGCGGTTCAGTGCACACACAATCAATTTTCATAACCCTTGGACAACAAGTTAACGATGATATGTTAATTCCACATTCATCTAGACTGCTCGAGGAGTTTAGGTTGTCTTTTAAGCTTATTATTCAAGCATTGTCATCGTCAAGATCATGGTTTTAATCTGCAAGCACCTCCCTCTATATGTCAGGGGACAACTTGATGCATGCATTGACAACATCGATCAACCTTACTTCAAAGTGTTCGAAATACTGGAAGACTCGGTAGATTTCAGTAGAAGTACTACTCTTGTAAATGATCTATGTCTTTAGGTAGTTATGACGATATCCATCAACCTTTATTTCCAAACTTATATTAACTACAAAACTTAGTACATAGTAGTAGAATGTTTACCTCTCGTCATATCAATGTTTGAATGCTGGATATTAACAACAAATGTTTGTTTGTTTGTTTGTTTGTTTGAAAAACACACTTCTATCGTTGTCATGCTTGATTAAAAAAGCCCATCCCCATTTCACACGGTATTTTCTTCGGCACGATTAGGGAGTATTCTTAGCTCACCTTATTGATTATTCATTCAATTTATCATTGTGTGACATTGTCGAGAGTACTATGGACAATTTTGATTTTCAATCCTATACGTACTGTGGCCGGGGTAGACAATATACATGGAAACATACATATGAATGTGGTGTTCTTCGTGTTTTCACCCACCAAGAGACGATCATTTCTCACCCGGGTTAGTCTGGCACAGTTTACCCGCACCCCACGTACGTGGGTAGGCGCATGGTTCAACGGTGGAATAACGTGGTAAACATTCAACTGCACGCTCCAACTATGAGCTGCAGTGTGCTATCGCACTCTTCGCTCCTCCACAATTCGCCGTGCTGATTTCCTCCTCCCCATTCCAGCTTACTTGGACTCCCTCGTGTCATCATCCTCGACTCAGGAGGCGACACCTGTAAATGCGAATCCTATGCTACTTCCAACTGTTCAGGGTTTGTCCTAGTCACCTCCACCTCACCTGTTGCCCCGGTCATCTAAGAGCAGAATCTGTATTGACGCACGCTTTGAGCAAATCCGCACCATCGGATCCTTTGCTCGGTGGACAGCTCACCCTGGAGAATACAGTTTGTAACTGGTGGACTGGAGCCGAAAAGCTCCGTACGCTGAAACCGAGTGCTCGTGTGAACACGAATATATTTGCAGGGGCCAGTGATGATTTCAAAGCTCGAAATCAAAGTCGCCGCCGTGCTCGACTGCGTCACTCGACACTGACTCCTCCTCTGGTACGTTCCCGAAGGCATTCTGCTCGTGATCTCAGACCAAGAGCATGTGGATATGGGCATCGGGACTCGAAGTTGTTTGTTCTCAGCTAGCAAGAGCAAAGAAGCTGCGATGGAGGAGATCCTGACAGTCCATGAAGTCTCGTAGTCACCCACTTAATATTTCCACGCGCAGCAACTGTAATCTTAAACATGTTGAACGCACAAGCGTGGACATTTACGTAGAAGCCTCAGATGAACTAGATGAACTGGTGAATCAGGTTAGAATAGTTGTGATATATGCTCTATGCTTCACACGTTTGAAAACCAGTTATCCATTGTTGTAGTATGAACTTCTCGAGGTCGAAATCTTCTGGTTAAATTGCTGTCGTCCCAGCAAGCGAGGTCTCTTGGAAAATACGTGTAGAATGAAATCGGAATGAAAGATCGGTGTCCATCATGAATAACACTTGTTGGGGAAGCTGTCTTGTCTAGCAGGATGTCTCTATTCAATATTACTTGGAACTGATATATATTTTGGTTGATCAATCAATGAGGGCAGATCCTGAAGGCAGGCTGGAACGAGATTGACTGTTTGAACAACTGGAATTGTCCATTTGCTGCGTTGTTCACCACATTTACTTATCAAAGCCACTCTTATTCGTGCTCAAGTCCGCATCGTTTGGCTGATGAGATGATGGTTTTGGCAGACTCAGAGTCACTCTCGATTTCATAATGGCAGCCTTGGCATCTTACTGCTGTGTACGCGCATCTTCAGCACCTGGCCCTTCTGACGGTGGAGAGTCGGTGCCGCAGCCTTCGGTACCTCAGTCCGTCTCAGTACCTCAACCTGTTGCAGCCTCAACTTCGGTGTCCCAGTCTGTCTCCCAAGCCCCACTTGCAGCTGCAGAGCCAAAGCAAGCCATCTCAACGACGGACGAAACACTTCCCAAGAGAGTACCATTCGGCACGGAGACGGCCGTGGACCTGACCTTATGGTAGGTATTCTGGCTTTCGTATATTCATGCTTCGTGATGTGCCATCGTTGTCAACCGGTTTCAGCTGACAAGAAAAGCGACGAATACAAACTTTTATCTTCTCAAACGAAGGCCGTGGATTTCAAATACTGGTAGGCTTTTTGATTTGGAGTTGGTAGTACTGCTGATTACAAGTAGCCTTCTGTAACTGGAATCGATGTTCGGTGCTCGCCAAGTTCAGATTTAGACAAATGATGTCTACACAGGTTAAGATTTGGTGTAAAAACTACACATCTGTCGTTACGCTCAGCTCCCAAGGATGCAGATATGGGACTCAACAAAAAACGAGACTGACCTGATTCACGCGTTCAAGTTTCACATTTAGAGATATACGCAAGTCCGGGTGTGTAATATTACCGCAGACCAGTGGCAGCGGTAATATGGATGCTTACGAATAGAACGTGACGGCTCTACCATCGACAGAAATGTACACGAAATCTGGCGTTTAGCTGAAATTGTAATTGTACGAGATGATGTCGCACAACTTCACGGCGTTTTCATCAAGCTAGATTGTGTTGGTCGTAGTAAGGGAAGCAATTTTACAATGACAAATTCTATTTTCTTTGCAGGTACGGGCCCGAACGAGTAAAATACTTGGGCCCGTTCAAAGCAGCGACGCCGGCTTACCTGAAAGGAGAATTTCCTGGTGACTACGGATGGGATACAGCGGGTCTGTCGGCAGACCCCGAGACGTTTGCCAAAAACCGTGAGCTCGAGGTGATTCACTCGCGGTGGGCTATGCTCGGGGCTGCTGGCTGCTTGTTCCCCGAGCTTTTGGCCAAGTCAAATGCTGTGAGCTTCAGGGAACCAGTGTGGTTCAAAGCTGGGTCGCAAATTTTCAGCGATGGTGGCCTCGACTATCTCGGCAATCCCAACCTGATCCACGCTCAAAGCATTTTGGCGATATGGGCAAGCCAGGTTGTTTTGATGGGCCTGGTCGAGGGCTATCGTATCGGAGGAGGCCCTCTGGGAGACGTGGCAGGGGATGGACTCTACCCCGGTGGTGCATTCGATCCAATGGGTCTCTCAGAGGACCCAGAAGCTTTCGCCGAGCTCAAGGTGAAGGAGCTGAAGAATGGGAGGCTGGCCATGACTGCTATGCTCGGCTTCTTCGTTCAAGCGATTGTCACTGGCAAGGGTCCAGTACAGAATTTGTACGACCACCTGGCCAATCCTCAGATCAACAACGCCTGGGCTTACGCCACAAACTTCGTTCCCAGATCATAAGTCAACTCCAGAGCTTGAAGCATTTGGTGCACACATACAATCTCCTCAGATGCGTTGAAGTATTCAGCTAAAGCTCCATGACGAAAGTGGATAAACCAACATCTACACTGAGTCTTTCCAAATCACTGCTTAGCTCGCAATCTGTGCAGGCGATCTTCAGCTTCACTTCGAGGCCTCTGTCTCATCGGAGGTCCTCTTCCGGACTGAAAATCGTATCACGCCCGATTGCATTAGATTGATCGTTCTCAAGATTTTAGATTACCTTTGTACATGTGCTGAGAGAGCGAGCTATCCTGTACTTCTATGAGTGAAGAAAATCAACTTGTCGACATGTCCTGCCTCTGGGCGACGCTTACAGAAATATAAAGTAATTTGATCAAATCTCTCTCTATGGTTTGAGTATCACCTCATGAGTTCTAACGAAGGCCGGCAATGCATTGTCCGAAAACTAGTGACAACCCGGTGTAAAAGATGAATCACATTTCTTAAAACTGGTTATAAATATGAAAAATGTAGATTGTTGCCTGCGTAAATAATGAAGCAAGCAGCGAGTCCTAGGGTGAGGACGGTGGATACATTGTCAGGGAGAGTAGTCTGCCGCAATGCACGCATAGTTGGGGTCGATAGACAACGAAATCAAGCGAAGAAGACGGGTCACTGCGAGGTAATACCTATAACGGCTCATTATCATGTGTCAAATCACTGATTTGAAGAACAATTCGTTCGATCTTTCCTAAGCCCGCCATATCGAAAGCAACCTCATGGGATTCATCATCTTGTTTCCAGCTTCAAATCACCAAGCTTCATTTCATCAAGCAGTTCCATTCAGTGCTTCGACATACTCCTCCACACTCGATAACCCAGGGGGTGGTTCTGAAGCGCATTTCCTTCTGCTTTGGAATTTCACTTAAGATCAGATCTATGCGAGCAGCAAGTCACCCGTTCACAGACTAGAACAAGTTCTCATTGAAGTGATCACAATCTTCGCGCAGCATCCTTCACTCTTACTCCATAAGAAAAAGGTATCAAAGCGATGATCACCATTTCCGTGTTTCTAAAAGAGAAGACGATGAATACTTTCCTGAACGTAGTCACCATTACATCGTAGGAAGCTCTACTGGCAATGAACCAGCTGAGGGTCTCTATCTGGGACATCCATGTTCAATCATTATTTGTAAGAGAACCTCATACGCAGGGGATCTGCAGGGGTGATGGTGGAATGTTTTATATATAACAACAAATAGGCCTAGGGAAATGCTGAGCTGTTCGGTATTCGAATTGCTGGCAAGGAAGTAACGCACATGGAAGCGATCTTCAAAAAATCGACAGATGGTGTATCACAAACGAGGGCCGGCGGTGAGATCGGGATGGATACAGAGAACTTCTCAGTGAATCTGGAATCTGGATCAGCATGATATTCGGTATGAACGAACAGATTGCTGATGGGTACGCAACGTTTCTCTGTAGCGAGCTGAGATCAATGTCGGATACCACATACAACAGTGGAGGTAGTGCCCCCAGGTAGTATATTCCAGTATCTCCACTAAAATATCCGTCGCAGCAGTGGATCGAATGGTAGAAATTTTAAATGCGTGGAAAGCATATGAAATCCACTTCGCCAGGACTCAGTGAGAATCTGAACTTATGACATGATTCTTGCCGTCATGAAGGAACAGAATCAAAATTTAAGTTTATTTTATGTTCTGTACTGAAACATTATAATTTATTCATATGATGAGATATTAGCACAGAAGCAAAGAACAAATTGCCAGGTAGGTGTGTTGTATGTAAAATATAAAACGTAAGATGCTTAATCCAAAGCTATTGACAGGACTAAATGTCAACCTAGTGCTGAAATGTACAGACGTTGAAGTCACCATAGATTAAAACAAGAAAATAAATACTGCTTAACTCCTGGAATTCAAGGCAAGTTGTCTGAGGTAGTTTTTCCAGCTGATACTATTTCACGGTGAAGAATTTCTTATCAGGGACGTTCGGTCCGATGTAGAACCACCAAATTTCACGAGCTGAGACCCTATGGATATACACAGGAGAAGACCTAGCAGATGCCTCAAGGCATATGGCATTCAATTGATAAAAAGAAGTCTCGCCACAGACGGAAAACTGCAACATACATTTTATTATCTCAAAAGTATTACCAAGCTTAATCACGGAAACAGGTCCGTCCATCAACGCAGGTCTCATGGCCATGCTGAAAACCAGCTACATTCACGCCTCCGACTAGACTACACGCGCTGGCACTTGAATATATAGTATTGGCTAAATAATCTGTAGGACTCTACAACGTCTTCGTGCAGCTTCGGTCTTTCTTTTTCCTTCCAAGAAACATGTGGAAAGAACTTTATCGACCGCTCCATGAGCAGTACAGAGCACTGTAGTCTGATTCGAACGATGCGTGATGTATATTGACGATAGGTCAAATATTGAGACTGAACGATGACAGGTAACAGAAAGTTAAAAATGGATTGAAATAATCAAGTCAAATGTTCGAATACTGATTATACAATTCGAAGTTGTAAAACTCAACAAGGATAGTTGTTGTCGATTCGGCCATTATGGAGCGAACACACACAACATAAATAAAATAGGACGATATTGCCGTCTAGTGTAGAGGAAAAGCAAGTCTGTGACCTGACAGTCATGATGACTATGGTTATCTAACCACATAGATAATGAGTGTTAAATTCATCTGTGGTTATGCTGCTTTGTCGGAGAAATTCATCTCCACATAATCGTTGTAAACAGTATAGACTGATTCATTACTAATAAGTCTTAGATTTCGAGAAGCGTCACCTCAGATCCAATGTTCAGCAATCTGCACAGTTTCGGTTGGTGTCAATTCTAGACAAGAGTTTTACTCTGCGTTAAGTCGTAAATGGAGAGAAATGAAGAGTCTTCCGCGACTGAGTAGCTGAGCAAAGGCACTTAAAAGCCCACCGGCTCATCGATGGTCTGCTCCAAGTACCTATTAAGAAATTCCGTTGTTGACTGCTCTGAAGCTTTGAAGTGATAACGTAAATTAAAGCTTCATTTATCAGTTGAAAACAGAAGTTCCTATATTTCATTGATTCGATCATGGAGTCCGCGTAAGATCATGTGGTGCACAATGCTCTCTTACTTACACCTCGTTTCATGGAAAGAAATCAGTACAGAGACGGCTGCCTATGATACATCCATGTACACGACAAGGTGAGTGCCGACTCCACATGAATCAAAACGATGCTTCATGTGTCGATCGTGCAGGAGACGAACTACTGACTGTGAACACACTGTTGCTTGATAGCTACTGCCAATCAGTGAAAACGGAAACATTAAATCACAATTCGTCAAAGTTAGAACTGCTGACGCTTACTTTTATATAAAATTCGTCGGCAATCGCAGAGAAGCGCATGATATATGCTATCCATTCAGGCAACTTGACTGTAAGCTTTATAACTGGCTTTTTCTGCGCCGGAGTTTCCACCGATGACGTATGGCTGAAGATCCATAAGGTACTATTCGTTGCCAATCTGGACTCGCGAGAAGGAATGCTTGCTGGTTTGTAGCGGTGTGTTACGTAAGTGAAGGGAAGCATGTTCCAAGGACTGGATCCGAAGAATGTGCTTTCACTGTTGACAAAATGAACGCTCCTTATAGATGAAGGTGCAGTCGGGAGTCAGCAATTGCGGCTTCGGGTTTCCATCATTTCTGAGCAAGAACCGGGTGACTAAAATCGAGCGATAGAGAGAAAAACTGTCTGTGTTTGCAACGAGCTCGAGAGTTGGACAAATTGTGGGCTCGGGCTTGCCAAACTTTGCTACAGGAGGGTACACAGAAACTGATTCAATGTCGCGGGAAGGTTGATGGTTTTCGCCAAAGTCTTCAGAGTGTTCCAACTGTGAGTTTGATGGGTTTACGAATCGATGGTTTCCTCCAGAAGTAGGCGGTGGGATCTGCATTTGAAGTCGGTGGCTCAACGAGGGCCTTCTTGTTGGGAGTGTTGAACGATTCCTTCTATCTGTGGAAACAGAACCATGACGAGGACGTTTGATGAAGACACGAATCCGGAGGGAACGGAGACGAAGGTAGTCGGACTCCTGCTTTTGGGTTCGGTTGTTCTGATGATAATTACATCTAGCATGCTCATGGGAACCAACAACCTCCAGAACGACTTCGAGGTAGGGGAAAGCGTAATCCTTGACTTCAACAGAAGTCCTTTATGCTCGCACTTGAAAGCACGGTCCATTCTTTGCAAATTACTGGATTTGCCATGGTCGTTAGTGGAAGATGCAGAGGCCCAGGAAGCGAATACAGCCATCTCGAATCAGTCAAACACGAATGCAGTTGTTTAATCAGCATCAAGCTTTCAAGGCACTACTCATCGGTATGAATTCTTTTCGGACTAAAATAAGCGTTTCCTTCGCAGAGGCATTTCATTTTGATGTCTATGCAGCGTGTTTTGAATTTTCACTTGAAAGTGGATGATTATAGGAGCACCCAATCAAAGGGGACACATCCATTTTGCTGATAACACAGCATAGATATCCTTTCGTCGTCTTGGCAGGAGGTCGCCAATCTTTCCTCAAGTTTCAGTTTTCTCCACGGTGAAGTAGGTGGCGTAGATAAGATCTAAGAACTTCGGCGAAGATGCCATCGGAGAATGTTCGAAAACTATCGTGTCAGTATATTTTCTTTACTGACACTGGTGAGTGTCAGTAAAGAAAAATCAGCACTAGATTCACAAACAGGGTAGGTTACTCATAAGACTTCAAGACCGATCGCCTGGAAATATATTGAACAATCACCAGGCACTAACTTCCAACAGAAATAAGCGTATTTGTCGAGTTAACTCCTCCTGGAAAAGGAGGGGCGGGGCACCCATCGAGTTTCAGAATGATCCCCAAGTGCTACAGGACATCCAGACATGTTGTAGGCAAGTGGCCGAAGGGTCCCTCCCGCCTACCAAGCACCAGCCTGGCTTAGACAGACACGAACTACATTATTCTATAGGCACCTCGTAAATAACCGAAGTCTCGGCAAGCAACACTGACCATCATTTTCACTCGAATCTAGTACGCGAACCTTCAGGCTGGGCTGGACCAATGTGCTTCGAAAGTCTCCACTGAACGAATTGGCGGATGAGTTTCCACATGAGCGAGGGTTACGACTGACATATTTGAAGTCCACTCAACTAATTAGCCTACAGTTTCAAGTTTACCAACCTCTGTTACAAAGCCAGTCTGGGCAATGTCTTGCAGCCCTTGATGAGACCTCGAGGGTGTAAGCTATTACTCTAGAAGATTAATGAAGCAGGCAAATGCGCGAGAAGAGGGGCGACTGTTATGTTGTAAGTTTTAAAGAAATAAAGTGTTATTTATTTTACTGATCGTGCAGATGTGAAAGTTTACCTCTCACGAGATTGCGAGCCTCCCTTGGATGTTAAATCTCTTTCAACAGGGATGATTGAATACAGCACTATCTGGTCAGCTGTCTTCGGTCTTTCAGTCAATGACCTGACTCTGGCCACAGAAGAGCGAATGGGGTCATTTACTTAATATTACCGAGAATCCAAGTACAAATCTTCGATGAGCCGCTATGTATATCATTACTGGATTTAATATGTGTACCGAACGAAAGGGATTAATACAACAAGTGTGTGTCGTCGAAGATCCATATCGAGTTGGCTAACCAGTCCACACGTGCACACATCGAACTAGAATTATCACTGACGTGCCACTTTGTACAAGCTCAAAATTCGGGATCAGATAGCGATTTAACCCCTACTTCTTTGACGCCGCTTCTCTCAGCGAAAGTAAATCAAAACCCATTTCAGCTTTTCAACATCAGCTTCACGGATTTGACCTTTCGGCAATTCCTCTAAATACGTCGGAGACACAACTACACTCAACTTCAACTCAACTACATGGTGTTGGGTACCTCGTTACGACATAAAAGGCAATCTTACAAGAATAAGGAGAAAATCAAGCGAGCCAAGAGACGGGAAAATACCAGATCCAATCAGCTTTCGAAGAACGACGAGCACAGAAGACCAGAATTAAAAACCAGGCAAGGCCAGAAACCAGACGAGAGAACAACGGAACGCAATGTTGTACGTCATTCTGGACAGAGCTTCTGATATCCCAAGGGTATTGCACCGGATAGATTCGCCGATCTGATCAAAAGTCATGCCTGCTCCACAAACCTGAATATTATTGCTGTATCTCGCGTTGTATCTAACAAAATGCCAGGTAAGCCAGGATCATTAACCATTTAAAGTCATTAATCATTATCAGTAACCGGAACGGTTACTGATAAGCGTGCATTCAGCTCGAATCGACTTACACAGCCAAGAATTAAGTGATATAATGTACTGCTCCCCCGAGAAGAATGGTACATAGGTAGAGATAGAGACAGCAACAGATAGAGCAGGATTTGCAGAATTTAGTTTCAGTTCCGAGCAGTACCCTGTCTGCCTCTACCGATCCCCTTGTACGCCACGGTGCGGTGCGGGATCGCAGGCATTGGACATGCTTTCCATGCTGATAACGACAAATCCGGTACCTTTGGCGCATCAAATCTTCTTATTCCTTGTTCATAGGCTCTGTTTTTCGACGTGGAGTTGTCAAGCCTCGCTCTTTCAACGACGTGAAGGAAATAGCGAACAGTGGGCGTGCACGCACATTCAGCGAATGACAATCGGCTTCTGTACGTCACGAGACTCGAAGGGTGTGGACTGAGGGTCCGGGTACCTTTGTTATGTTCGGCAGGACACCCTCCACCATAGTTCGGCTCTAACGAACTTAAAGCCTAGTCATGCCTGGACCATGATAATAGTGTGGACATACACACTATAAGTGCAGCACAGACTTCTTCAGGCGTGGAAGAATCAGAGTGTCGTTTAAGATTCGTGTCTTCCATCCAAAAGCAGGAGGGTTGTGATTTTCTAATGAACTGGATCCAGTTTTGGTTGAATATTGATATTGCTTACTACATCTGATTGGCTCCCCTGCTTTTAAAGCCATACTCTGTAATGGCTAATTATCCCTCTAAATTTGGGCCAAATTTTCCAAGTGTCTTGGGCATGCTGGTGTTGTCCCCGGGTACCTAATATGAGAACAAGAGCCGTTCTTGAGACTAAGGATTTTCCTGCAGGAGGCACATGCCTCGCAGCCCAGACCAAATTACGCCATGTTTGAAGTATTGTAATATGAAAAACTTTAAAACCCTCCCCTGTGGATGCCTATCCCATATCTAAAAGGACTCCGTTTATTTCGTGTGATCAGCGTTTTCCAACACTAAAAGTGTGACCACAAAAGTATTAAGCATGACTTTGATAGTAACGTGTTTGAATGATGCGATGATAGTCGAGAACAGCAGGTTCCTGTCTTCAGACCAACAACGAGAGCCACAACAATACCCGTAAATCTGCATATTACATTCATATATTTATCGGCTAGGGATACCGAGCAGCTTGCATTCAAGTATATAGATTTATAACATACAGTGTAACATAATCAAAATATTTTTATTCTTCACCGAACCAAAAAAAAACTTTAAGGTTAAATTAAATTGATTTTTTTAACCAGACATTACTTTGAGATTTCAAAACTGGTTAATCTCTGCCAATATTAACATTTGTACTGAAGTGATTTTAATTCTGTGATTTCAGTTCCTTTCAAACGAGTCTTTACTAGGACTTTGTGGTGAGAGACGACCGTGTTAGGCCATTAGATTAGGCCACGCGGATTCATGTATTAGGCCCTGGAAGGATCTTGCCATCATCATCTTTCCTACGTCAATGATTAGTAGTTTGATTTACAAGATATTGACTAATCCTTTGAGGAAATGGAGGCGAAGGCAGCGAGCCCACTGTTCCGCGGACCCGATCTTGGCCGGCGTGCTGGGGAGCTGGCAGGCAGCCGGATCGGGAGGGACGATCCTCCTGCGCTTCGCTCGAGTTCCAATTTGAGTGCACGATCGAAGCTTCGATATGCCAATTGAGTACGAGGGTCCGCGTTTTCGGCAGTGTGTCTCCCCAGCCAGAGGTTTAGCGCCAAGGAGCACACTTTGACAGTTCACAGAAAGGGAGTGGAGCGAGATTGTGGAATACTGAACTGCGGAAGGTACAATTGAATTCGTCGTTGAACGGAATGGTGTTGCGATGAGGACTGCGGCGGATCGATGCGTGAGTCGTGATTTTTGAAGGATTCCCTTGGAAGAGCTTTGGTGGGAGGAAGTGGGCCAATAGAGAACGTACCATTGTAGCGGGGTTTTAGAGTCCGAGCATCTTGAGAAAGGATCAGTTGGAGGCATTTCCATGCGAAAATGTGGGTTCCCCGAGAGCAGGTGATGCAAACGCGTAAAATTTTGTTTCATCTCCTTTAGACATTCGTGAAGGATATTGCTTTTCTACAAGCAGAAGGGATGAAATTGAATTTTGGTGGAGGTGGAGGAGGAGGAGGATTGGCAGAATGGCTGCCTACAGTGGCAGCCGTGAGTGCAGCTTTCACAGCCGGAATGTTGATCACGCATTTACCGTCGCCGTTCACCAGAGCGAGGCGCACTGCTGTGGGAATAATTCCTGCCCGCTTCTCTTCGTCGCGATTCGAAGGCAAGCCCCTGGCTTTGATTCTCGGCAAGCCCATGATTCAGGTATGCTCTTCCAACAAAATCCAAACTGTATGGACACAGAGAATTTTGAAATTAGTTTCATTTTACGATGAGAACTGTATACTCGATCTTATCCCTCTCTATCCTCATTTGTGGAAGATCGCGTCCAACCGAATCTACGATCTTATGACTGCAGATCTGATCGAATGCAAGGGCTTAGGTACCATCTTTCTTTCCTGCCTCAAAAATTGTGGAAAGTCTACCCTATTTACGCGGATTCAAGATCTGTTTTGATCTGGTTTACGTCTCTTGTGACATGTGCACTTCGGAAACTTTTTCGAAGAATCCACCTTTGGACTGTTTAAGCCATGTGACCATTTTGCCCTTAATGCGCTGGAATGCTTTTCTGAGCCACCTCAATCAACACAAAACAGAAATGCACAAAAAAACTGGAGCAGAACTGCAGATTGTAATTCTGGTTATTCTGCACTTATCACTGATTTTAATAGAATTTCCAGAATTTTAGATCGTCTTAAATCTCTCATCTGGTCGTTCATAAGAGCGAGTTTGCTAGACGAAAACTAGTGCAGCTCTCTGTCATCTATATGCCCGAGACTGATGTCCATTTTTTGCAGAGAACTTGGGAACAAGCGAAACTTGCAACGGATTTAGATTATGTGGGTGAGTGAACTGTTACTTTGAGTTACTCTGTGGCTCTGACATTGGTGCGTTATTTGTGAACTTTTTTTTGTTTTTTCTGTGAAGACTTCTAAAGTAGAGCAAATAGACATTCTTAGGGATTCTTTGCTGGCCCTTCCCTGCTCTGAGTGACAGCTTCTTGTTTCATGTGCATTTATGCTGTTGATCACAGTCTAAAGGTTAGAATTGGTTGCTCAGATGACAAAAGCTTTTGAAAGAAAATCCTATTGGAAATCATATTGATCTTCTTTCCTCCTTAGCCTGACTTTCTTAATCGAAAGTTTCGTTTTTATACTAAAAGACAGTCCAAATCGAACAAGGAATCTAAGAGTTGTTGGTTTCAAGTATCCAGTGGTGGCGACTGATGATGAAAGAATTGCTGCGTGCTGCCAAGCGTTTGGGGCGGAGGTTATTATGACTTCTGAAAAATGCGCCAACGGTAAGTGGTTCTCCATTCTCAGCTTTTCTTATAGTTCTTTTTGGGACACGTAAACATGTGAAATAGTTAACTTTCTTGTGTTGAGCTTTCCTTTCGTCCGACAGCCAATAGAATTGCGCAAGTTGTGAAAACTTAAGTTCGAAATTGGAATGGAATTGCAGGAACAGAACGATGTTATGAAGCTCTAACCAAGCTGAAACGGAAATTTGATATTGTGGTTAACATACAAGGTGATGAACCGCTCATCGATCCGGAGATTATCAATGGTGTCATCCAGGCTCTTAAGGTGACTTGCTTATATCCCTATACTGAATAGGCTCTGGACTTGTAGAATAATCTCTCCGATTCTGATGATCTCTTTTAAGCTTTTAATGCCGGATTGCTTAGCAGTTTCGTCTACAGTCCCTCCTAAATTGTAGATAGTTAATTTCATTGGCTCCTGTTTGTTTCTGGGATCAGAACTTACTTCTTTGCTTTGGCAGAACTCTCCAGATGCAAAGTTCAGTACAGCTGTAACGGCGTTGAAACCTGAATATGCATCTGATCCAAATCGAGTCAAGTGCATTGTCGACCGACATGGTTATGCTATTTACTTCTCCAGGGGCATGCTTCCCTTCAATAAGTGAGTTTCTCTAATCCGTCAAAGGTTGAGTCAGTCTCGAGAACTCTGGAATGGAACTCGGGAACTCGAGAACCAAATGGCCTCTCCACCTATTACGTAAAGTTATGGCCCAGCTCCTTGACCGTAAAGCAACTAAAGAAACCTTCTTTCCTTTGTATTTTCCGCACCGACATTTTAGACAGTCTTTAACGATAAACCATGGGTGAAGAGTAGACTGATGGATAAGCTGACAATTTTTTTCTATATTTTCACTCCAGGAAATCCATTGCCAATCCTGAATTCCCGTATCTACTCCATCTCGGAATTCAGGTATGCTTTTGGTGAATGTCTGTTTGAAAATGAAAACATGATGCCTTGCACTAGGATCTTCTGACTTGAAGTTTTCACATTTCTTTCTACTGCTAGGCGGTTCTTTGGTTCTCTCTTAGGTTGGAGTTGGATTGTTTGTATTGTGTTTTTCAGCCTTTTGACCCTTTGGGTCCCACGGGCTTGATCTATTTACCATTACCATTACCATTTACTGTGTACATGTTAAAACCTATATTTCTTCCTCCCCGCCTAGGTAAATTGTCAACTAAGAAAAATCTTTTGGATGGTCCATCAGAGAAACTTATGGGTGATGGGACTAAGGGAACTAGTACTATCACAAAACTGCAACTGAAAGGAAGCCTCTTGCTAAGTTTCGAACACTGCTGAGAGTGAGATATGCTGTCAACGTAGTGAACACACGAACAACTTTTCGTTGTTTATTCAGTAGGGGCTGACCTCCAAATCGTAACGGCATGGGAGCTAACTTCGTCAGGGTAGGAGCCTTGAAATCATCTGTTCCTAGAAATGTCGCTGTCGTTAAGATTTGTGTCTTTTATTTCTTAATTAGTGTCTTTCGACTGCAGTGTTACGATTCAAAGTTTCTGGCTGTATATCCTCACATGCCAACAACTCCCCTCCAAGTAGAAGAGGATCTGGAGCAGCTTAAAGTGCTAGAAAACGGCTACAGAATGAAGGTTAGTAGTTTCAATACATAATACCCGCATTTTGCATTTTCCCTACTAGGTGAAGGCCTACTAGGATATCTAGTCATGCCGCATGTAATATTCACATGCCTTGCATCCTCGTACGGTTGCATGTTACTGACGTTCTTACCTCAAACTTCTGAGTTATCTTTTGTCTAAGCAAGAATCGGGACAGAATCTCACAGAAACATCTGATGACTGAATGCTTGTGACTTGCAGATTATCAAGGTGGAACATGATGCTCATGGGGTAGATATTCCTAGTGACATACAAAGCATAGAGAACTTGATGAAGTTAAGACACCTGACATGATTTTATAAAAGTTTTGCATAATTTTACATTCAAGGATACATAGGTAGTGTTTCGTAAATTGATCAGAAGAGAGTTTCTAGAGAAGCGATTTGAGGTATCGAAGACACATTGTCTTACCTTTTTGTTCTTTACTCTTGATAATATCAATAGATTAGATTACGAGCAGCTGCACAATATGTGCTGAGGATATCTGTCTGAGATTCACGACCATCAACACACTCTGAATGATATTACCTTCTGTTATGTACCTACTTTTAGGTCATCTTGGACATTTGAGCCTGATTCAGATCATTACTGGTTACATTTACCGGTTGCGACCTTCTTATTGTGTCTCTCACCAACAGTTAAAAAAAAAAATCACTTCTTAAATTGTGAAACATTTACACATTTCAATACATAGAAGCAGAGGATATCGTAAAAAAAAGTCACGTTATTAAATTGTGAAATATTCACACATTCCAGTGCATAGAAGCAGAGGACATAGTAAGAACCTGAGCCATTTTGAAGTCCAAGGGCCCTTAAGAGATGTAGACGCCTTTAGATTACGTACGATCCTACAATGTTCCCAGTTACTTATGTGCAACTAATAGCCATCATTTTCCGCATCTGCAAGTACCGTTTATTCTCATTCACAATTGTACAAGAAAAGGGAAGTTAAAACCATGGGCATTCTCCTTGTCAGTCATAGCTGATGTAGTAGAGAAACTTCTATCCCCACTGCAAGCTACTGGAGTTATATTCTTGTATTGTTCCTTGCACTTGTATGTTCTCTTTCACATGTGAATGCTATATGAAGACTAACATGTTGAGAAGGAATCACTTGTAATTTTATGTGTCAAATAGAACACTTAACATATTTCTCGGTGAGAAAAGATGTTAACCCAGCAAGCATTTTGATTCTGAGAAAAGACCAACTAGTTCATCAATACGAGTTTTTCCTTGTCCTCTTTCCACGTAAACGACTTTAATGTACCAAGTAGGGAAAGGCCGACGTAGAGAACACAAAGTTAACAATTGTACTGCCAATGACTGCTGTCTGGTTGACATGCACAAGACTGACAAACCTGCAAGGTGCACTGGTCTATCACTTATTCATTTACTCATTGTTTTGCCAAACTGCAGTCTATGTATCTATACGACCCATCAATGTGTTGCTGCATTCATCTGCAGTCCAGGTAGTAGTAGTACTATGTACTGCATGTCTCCGTCGTGTAGGTCTGGAGATGATAAAGATAGTCCTGACCATAAAAATTCCCTCACACGGTGCTTTAGGATGTCTTGTGCAACTGTCGATCTGTCGGCATCAATGAGCAGTTGAAGTGTAAGCTGTTAGCAGTGACAGTGCTTGCCTCGTCTAGCACTATCATTCCCGATCTATACAGTTGATGGTGATAGTGTCCTCCAATCTTCATTACTGTAAGAAACAACTTGTTCAAAAGCTGACAGATTTTTATAGGTTATAAATTCTAACTTCCTACTTCCCCAGGCTTCACAACATATCACCGAGATTCAAATTAACCGGGTATCTGTTGTGAGTGATGGAAGGTGAAGCATGGGGAAGCAGGAAGTTAAAATTTATGAATTCTAAGAACTGAAACCTTGTGTGACGCGCCATTACGCTGTCGTACATTTGGTCCGCAAACACAAGTGAGAGGTATGTACTGTATGCATAGTCCTTAACATTCATATCTTCACCCGGAAAGGAGACTCTACCTCATCATGTATGTCTGTTATGAAGCGATGTCATTGGATTGTATGAGGTCGACTTCATATCTAAAGCATCAAACATCATGTGGGTGACATGGTACTGTCTCCGGCATCTTCGCTATGCTTAAGGCTCACATTCTTGTGCTCTCAACTTTGAAGAGGTGTAGTCTTTACGAGCCATATCAGATAATGTTCCAACACTGTATTGGAGGTCCCTAAAATAGGTGTATCACCTGCTGCTGGAAGTAAATTAAGTTTAACATGTACCAATCTTGGTCGGAATGTATCTCATGAGTAGCAAGACTTAGCTCCCAGTTTCTTTTCAATTCAAGTGAGGAAAGTCGCCTGATAGACATCCTGTGCACGCTTACCTTACCTTTCTATCCACCTTGGATAGGACTACCGAAGCATGTTCCTGTTAATGAGACTTGTCATGTTTCACTGTGACTACTTGGGGATCAGCTACAATTAAATTACTTTGATGTTGCATTTAGACACACTATAATCCAATGAGTTGACCAGTGAACCATGCTGGAACTTAGGGATTATCTTCCGTAAATTAAACTCGATCAACATCTTGAGCCACAAGATTCCTGCAGTAGTCAATGTGCAATAGCAGTACCATCACATGAGCGCTTACAGCGACCAAAAACACAAAATTATAGGATTGCCTCTTAAAGAGGAAGCGAGGTCGTCCTGGCTGCAGATGCGCAACTTCTGAAGACAAAGGAATCGAAGACGGGTTGTAGGAAGACGGATTCCACGTATCGATACTGTACACTTTAGGGAGATAGATGAGAACGGGCTCGAGATGAAGTCCTGGACAAAACGATACCCTGCCTACAAGAGTGGATCAACGAAAAGACCTGGACCGAACATTTGGTTTCCAAGCAGAACCTTCAACAAGATTGAAGTCTCTGAAGTGGCGGAGGAGTAAGAGAAGAGTCTGCTTTGGCCTCAAGTCTCTGACTCCCTTCCAGGACCCCGTTTCAAGGACCATTCTTATGCATTAGTTCAAAAAGGAACCGTGTGTGACAATGTCTCCATACTTAACTCTATGAACGGGGTCAAAGTTTCGTCCCCCTCCATGTTCGAGCCCGAAGCGTTGTCCCAAATGCCCAACACTTGGTTTTACCAGACGACAAGCATTGTAGCAGGGACCTGAAAGCCGACCACATTCTTTGTCAGTTATGGATCTTACCTACTAGATTTGTTGAATCCAACAAGAGCACTTTTTTGCCTCTAGATATTCAGTTCGTGGGCGGATCGAGCCTTAGAGCTGTGCATGTGGCATCCAGCCAGTTTCGTTCCCAACAACGTTGTTCCTTACCATACAGCTCTACCAGCTGGTGATGAGAGCCATCCCTATCTGTCGGCTGAGATCGGTCATAAAGACTAGAATTTGTTGCACCCGTTGCTATGTGCCTCGACACTGGTTTATGCATTCAGGTCCTGTTCAGAGCTGATGAAGCCAAATGACCGATCATGCGGTATCCAGCCAAAATCCTGATCACTTTTGTCATTCGGCCGATCGCTTTTTCACCTGCTGGTAAGAAGAACAGACTAGACCACAGACATAGCGACGGTGATCGTGCCTGCAAACTAGATTCTCATGAATCTAACATTTGAGCTCCGTAAATCCTGTAAAAGATCAGCTCTACCTTCTGCTGCCAGTTCTTTTAGCCGATTCACCAAAACGGAAAGATACACCTTTTCATTCTTGTGCAATGCGCTGTTGCAAGTCGCGCGTGATCTCCAACCAAATTCTCAGCTGTTTTGGATGCGCTCGGCATGACAGAAATTTGCTTAGTCTTTTGCTGCACCTAGACTTTTCGAGTTGCGCAATCTGCCAACTCAAAAACGGTGCACATGACATTCGACCATGCGTGGTAAAGCAGGTACAACAAGGACCTGCTGAAAGGCAGTGCCCTGTGGCTGGCGATTTCTGTCACGACTTACATTCAGTACCGAAGATAGATACTATTCCATCTCGTTCGTGACCGACCGAGCCATGGCTGTGAATGTAGATCTACTGCGCGGCAGACATTGGTGATTTTTCCGTCACACTACTACTGTGATCGGCAGTTGGTCTTGCATCAACCCCGATGGTGTGTTCTAGCAGCTCAGAATTGTATTATATTGAGTCAAGGACAGATCTGAAATTCTAACTGGGGACTTGGCTCTGCTAGCTGGACCCAACAACAGACAAATCTTTCAGAGTGAAGTAGGCACACGAACTCCACAAGACTGATCGACTGACAGCTCTGTTTGCACTCATGCAAAGCGATGGCTGTGGCCCTCAACAGCTGAGGAAGTACGGTCTTTGCAGACGGTGTGCGCTTTCCCTCGGATTGTATGGAGCATTAGTCCGTTCATTGGGCCTGAGTTGTATCTGCACTGTTCATTTATAGTGTCGAAAAGCTTTGCAGATGTAAGTGGTACTACTCTTGTCTTCGCCTGCTTTAGTTCCTGCTGCTTTTGAAGCCCCTAAAAGCAGTGAAGTCGTGAACCAAAGACGCAAGCCAAGATCGACTCATTCCATCCTGGTCTCCCTGCACTAAAACACAGCTGTGAAGATTCAGGTCCATACGGAGCTATGGACTTTCTGGTTCCGGAACTGGAACTGCCTCACATCCAGGAAAGAATTTAGTTACTGCTCTGAGTGTGAAGGTGTGAGCACGAGAGCTGGTATTCCATCTGTATTGATACCGATACCTCTTCCTCCTTCAGAGCTTACGGTATTCGAGCTTCACTCGCAACCATGATTCGAGAGTTGTGCATGGGGCTACAGAAGATGCTTTGAACAAAGAGTCTCGCCTCGCCGAATCGCCTATGCCGAATCGGAGTCTGGAGGACGATAAGATCTCGTTTCTGATAAGCAACAAGCTTCTACGCCATTCTGTAGCTGTAGTACATCTCACGACTTTGACACATGCTCCATCCATGATCTAGCGCGAGTACTGTAGTAGGATAAAGGACACTGGACTAATCTAGGGATTCCAAACTGGGTCGCTTACGAGAACTGCGGCGGAAAGCTTTCCTGTCATCGAGCGCTTAGAAAGCTAAAACAGCATTCCAGCTTCAGAATTGCAGATCAGAGCTCCCAACATCGTTGAATGATGGCAGTGCAGCTGAGCTGAGTTCAGAATTGCAGCAAAGATCTGTCTTGAGCTGATCTCAATGGCTGCTGCACTGCTTGAATCTATCACATTCTAATAGATAGTAGGTTCTGTAGGCAGCTATACGTATCCCTGTCGAGCATCTCTCAAGCCTAGACCTGAAGGGACACCAGAGTCTAGCTAGTCCAACTAGACGGAGGGTGTCTCGGATGATGTGAGCAAAGTCAGTACATGATTTATTGTCTCCTATCACCGAAGAGAGGGGGAGGCGGGTGGCGATCTCATTTGTCGACTTGTAGAAAAGATGAAAGCGTCACCTGAATGGCAACAGCTTGAGATAAGTTGCATCGAGCTGCCTTCGTAAGAATCGGCAGCACACACAGCGCCTAAGCTGAGTGTAGCTAATATAATCTAGTCTTCTTATTCCTCTTCTTCGTTTACGTACACATGGAGCTGTACTT